GACCCAAGGGAGGCCACCCCAGGCACAGTGGTGGCCTCGACCCAAGGGAGGCCACCCCAGGCACAGTGGTGGCCTCGACCCAAGGGAGGCCACCCCAGGCACAGTGGTGGCCTTGACCTTGACCCAAGGGAGGCCACCCCACTGGCTGGCACAACTTCATGTTGCTTTTATAAACTTCAAAAAACGCTGTTTCCTGAAGCCAGTACAAAAAAGGACAAAACTCTAAAACAGGTTTCTGGAAAGAAAGATTAAGAGTAAATGCTGCCAGTTTCTGGCTGCAGACAAGTGGGTGAGGAAGCAGGAGGGCGCTGGGGACACGGCACCATGCATCATCCCAGGAGGAACGCCCGTGGGGATGACAGGTGGGGGGGCAGGTTTCCACGACTCGACTCACCTTTATCCCTGGTTCTCCCCTACTGCCTTTCTCACCCTGTGGAAAACATGAGAAATGAGAAGCTCTAGTTAATTTGATTGTGGTGATGTTTAAAAATTGCTTAGGATTTACGACAGGAGCTGAAAAGGACTGAAACTTCAAACAATCATCATAAATTCACTGTGAAAAATGAATCCTCAATTTTGCAGCTTCAAAATTCAAAGGGCAAAAAATGCATTCTAGATTTTCACAAGATAAGAGAAATCATGTATTATTTCCTCGTATGACAAGAAGGTCTGGCTTTTCTGGCTGAGGCTTTCTTTTCACCCTCTGCAGTTCCAGGCTCACATTAACAGCAAGTGGTCAGGAAAAAGCTCTCATGGAAATATTTGTTTTGAGTAAGATATTATCAGGACGGTCCTCTGAGAAAAAGATGCATTTGGAACACATTAAAACACAGAGGAAAAATGCCTTTAAAAGCAATGTCAGTTCTGTAGGATTCCCCGCCCCCACTTCTCTTTATCTAAAATGGTGAAATGCAAAACTACGGACTCTTTGTCCCCAGTGCCCCAGGTGGGACCCCTGCAGCTCACGACTGCCCCCTGCAGGCCAGCCTGGGCCAAATTCTCTTCCGTTGCATAAAAGGAAGCAGAAATGTGGGCCCCTCGGCAGGGCTAAGGTGACCAGATTTTAACTTTGGTGAAGCGGGACACCATTGATGGGGGGCGGGGCCTGACAACAATGCAAACTTTGATAAGCAGTTCTCAATAATCACTTCTGAACAATTATTTGTTATTATTACAGTTTAACATTATAAAATTAACAAAAATAATATAAAACTCATATCCTGGCGAAATAGCCACATGGCAGCTGAAAACCATATATTCCCTTCCTGTTCTCATGCCCGTTCCTACATTCTTTCCAAAGATTGGGACTTTTTTAAAACCCCGCAGGACATGGGACAAATTGTTAAAAATTGGGACTGTCCCGCCAAAAGTGGGACGTCTGGTCACCCTAGGCAGGGCCCAAATCTGCTCTGACCCCCACCACCCTTGGGATCCTCTCCTGAGACTGGACATAGGCCCTGCAGGCCATCGCCCAGGAGACTCTTGTCCACAGCCAGTCATCACTGGGGCCACAGCTCCTAGAGCTGATTCTGCCCTGAAGGCAGGGTCCTGCCTGCCCACTCCCACCCATAGCCCAGGACCCAAACCCATGAGGACAGACACTTGAGAGGTGGGAATTATGTTCCATTTGTGAAGATTTTCAGTCCTAACACAGAGGAACAGCAAGCCCAGGAGGACCCAGTGACCCGCCTGAGTGAGCAGGGACGGAGCCGCATCACCCCCGGCATGGCAGGCTGCCAGTTGCTATTCAGACTCAGAGTAAGTTTTACATCAAACAGAACATTAGTTGAATTATAGAGAAAGTGTCTGAAAACTGATCTTGAGCCAAAAGAAAAAAAGTTAAAGAAGTATTTCATATTAATAAAGAAGAAAAAGTGGTTTTTAGTTTGCAGAATACAACATTTTGCCCCGGTAGTTCCACGACTCTGGCTTGGAAAGACGATACATCCATGAACCTTTGTCCATGTTGGAGACTCTTGTACTTCAGGGTAGAATTGAGGCTTTTTAATGGATTCTCAGGCTGCTTCAAATTCGTTACAATTTTTAAGATGAGGGACTGATGAAATTCTTTCACTGTGAATCTAGGAACTGTCTGGAAGCATATAGAACATTCCAAAGGCCTACTTTGTTTTCAGGTGTAATTTGCCAATTTGGTGGTGAGGATTTTTCCACTTGGAATGTAACTGAATAAAATTATCCTTGTTTCTTTTCCTTTTTTAGTTTAGCTGTGAAAACAACTGGTTTTGCTGAAGCTGATACAGGGACCCTCCCCCCTAGGCACGCACAGGCTGCAGCACTCTCTGGGCTCTAGCAAGGTCCTGAACAAAGCAGCCTGAAAGGTTCTGGGTGGTTCCACCTGGAGTAGGGAGCGCACACCCTATTCCCTTCCCAGAGACCAAAACTCAAAGACCTGACCTTGCCCCCAGCAGAAGGACTGCAATAACACACTCATTAACTCTGAAAAGGTGTTTTTCCACCAACCAAGTCCTGGCCAAAATGTAATTCTCTAGACTATACATGCCCCTAGACAAAGGACACATGTGAAGCCTGCCCGCTCAGGTCCTTCCCTTTGCCAGAGCTCTGGTGCTTTTTACTCCTTCTGTAGTCCTTTCTGTCTAATAAAATCCTATCTTATCACTGATCTGCGCTCTGTGGGCTTATTCTTCAAATCCCTGAGACAAGGACCTGCTGAAGAAAGAAATTACAGTAACGAAGCCTCCTTACTTTGTACTGGTCTGGGAGGAAGGTGGTCTTCGTGGGCCCCACTATGGGGTGGTGGAGGTTCTCTGATGGGATCCCATTGGGTCCAGGCTGTCCTACGTCACCCTGTGTATTGGGTGGTAAAAGCACTCATCTTTACATGGAAAGGAAACTGTACAATGTGAATAAAAACATAATCCTGCCACAATACTGCTCTCTTAATTTTTGCATATTACTTACCATATATATATACCTATTTGAAATGTTATAATCCTAAAATAATCTTAATATGAAATTATTTCTATCCCGCAAATAATTGTACCAACGATTTCATTGGTAATCATTTAGAACTCACATACAAAGCCATGAGGCCTACTCACAATTTTATGCTGCATTTGCTTCTGTGGAATTAACTCCTTCCAATAAATTCCCACAAAGAGAAATTATCAGGTGGGAAGGTGAAATGTCTTTATGATTTTTGGCAGGTACTAACCACTCTTTTGCTTACCAAGGTTGGCACCCAGAAATACCTAAGAAATGAAAAACTACTTCATTGGTTAAAAGTGTTTTTGCATAACAATAAAACGGTCTTGAATGAATAGACCAAGATTGCTTTAATTTGCATCTTTACTGTTGGCAGAAAACACTCTGTCCTGACCAAGCAGGTAATGAAACCCACCTGTCCCCAACATTGCGGGGCAGAGACCCTGCCGGTACTCTGGCTCTGCCTCCCAGAGATTAATTAACTGGCACAAAAAGAACTGTCATCATCTTTTCTCCGCTATTCCTCCTATCAACTGCATGACGCATGCCTGAGCCCAGCCATCACATAAAGTGAATGGCAGATTGAGAGGACTGAGGTCTCAGTGCAGAGAGCGGCTGACCGATGTATTCTGGGCATCCGCAATGCTAACATCTTAAAATACCTAAAACTGTTCTTCTCCCTGTACCCAAAAGGGTCTCGATGATTTTATTAATAACTTGATAAGCTCACTGTAGATTATAAACATCAAATGCATCTCCCTTATATCTAATGCCACTATTCTCTCCTCCAACCAATGAATTCAGATTTTTCTCTTTCTTTTCTTCTGTTATTTCATTATATTTCACCGTACGGGGCTTTACATGTTTATGTGTTAGTATCTTCAATGTTTTCCTTTTATGATTTCATCTATGGTATTAATGCAAAGAATGAAGCCTTTCTTCCTCACACCTGAGCAGTACAGCTGACTACACTTAATATGCTGTTCACTCAAAAAGCAGAAAGGAAAACGCAGTGAAAATGCTCAAATGCTGAAGTCAAAGGGACAAGTTTTGTGGGGGGTACATGGGTTTCCTGTAACTGTAATGGGTTATGAATCTGTGAGGTTTGGTGTTGGGTCTGAGCACCGTGCTGGGACTTCGACACTTGACTGTTTGCTCTTCTGCAAGGCCCTGAGGTCTTCACATCTGGGCACTGCAAGGCATTACAGAAGCCATATGGTCCTTGTTCCTGAAGTCCAGCTAGTGCTGGCTCCTGAGGTCCCCTGGCCCCTGTTGTGGCTCCACGTCAGTCTTCGGCCTCATCACAGCCCTCTCTGTCCCCCCTGGACTGCACACATTGGAAGACACCTCAGGGGAACCACTTTACTTCTGAATGCTGCAGACGGGCTATGTTGAGTTGAGGCCAGGGTAGATGGCTCACATTCTCCATCATTGATCCCTATTCACTAGAGCGTGTTCGATAACTTGGTACCTTACAATGCTTATTTTCCTTTGCAGAAGGTCTGTTTGTAGGTCACCTCAAGGACACAGTATAACATTTAGCCATCAGCAGGCTCTGTCTCCTCATTGCTACA